GAATACTTTTTCCCAGTCAGTGGCTTCCCTTTTTACCCTACTGGAGAAGTTTTTGGATGTGCATAGGGATTTGAGTCTTAGAAGGTCCCATTCATCTGTGTTATCTTCTCCTGGTTGTAGCTTGAGTTGTAGTCTTAATGTAGCAGATATTTGCTGGATAGAAGATACAACACTACTAGTTCTGAATTTTAAAATTTAATGTTATAGTCCTCTTCTAAAGTGAACTTTGGTTACTATCTTTCCCAGTCTTAAGACAGCTGTCACTGTATAATTACCAAGTTTTGATTTGATTCTGGACCTCTGTATTTAAGTTGAACAAAGATTTCTAAAACTTTGTGATTCTGAAGTCAGCTCTGATGTTTCAGGATTCTCTATACGGGAGGAACTGGAAAATCTGAAAAGACTCCAAGTCTAAATGTCTGTTAAATTAAAAATATTCTACTTTTTGGAGTGTATTCTCAAAGTTTTACAGAAAGTAATAAAGTTTTGTTAAAAGTTGTGACTAAAGAGGTAGGAACCAATTTGTCACTTGAGTCCTCAAACACTTTTTCCTCTTGAGTTTCTTCAGCAGATGGATCAGTTGTCTTTTCAAATTATTCTGAGCCTAGCTTCCCCCCCCCCTTAGTATAGGGAAGTGACTAAAATGAAACATACTTTGATGTCACATTAATTTCTTTTTAACAGATCTTTGATGGTATACATTGCAGAAATCTATTTTAGAGCTTGGAGAAAGGCTTCTGGGGACATATTGGAGGTATGCTTCATTTTACTAAATATCAACACCTATTTTTATTGTTTTCTGTGTATGACATGAGTTGACTCAACCACCCCTAACAGCAGCAATAATTAACTAAATAGATGGTTACTTGTTACCATTGAGTCAATTCTGACACATAATGACCCTATCTGTACAATGTTGTTGAACTTCCTCATAGATTTTCCAAGACTTATAGGAGGGAGCTCTAGTGGCCTGTGAATAAGAAGTTATGCTGCTAACCCAAAGGTGCTCGGTTAGAATCCACCAGCTACTCAACAGGAGAAACATGGGCAATCTCGCAAGCAATTTACTGCCTTTGAAAATTCACTGGAGAATCAGAGATGAGTTGATTCCAACTTTATGCCACTTAACAACAACAATCTTTAGAGGAGCTGGCTGCCACATCTTTCTCACATTGATTGCTTTGTTGTTTCATACTACCAGATTGGAACTGACTCCTAGCTGACCCTTAAGTAAGTTTCAGAGGCAGTAATTCATTTGGGAAGAGATTATTCATCTTTATTTTGTGGAATGGCTGATGGATTAGGACTACTTTGCTTTTGGTTGACAGCACAGTTCCTTACCCCTGAGCCATTAGAGCACCCTCATGGAGTGCCTAATTCATTTAAACTGGTGACCTTTCAGCTAACATTTGAATCTTAAACCATTGTGCTATGAGATATGAGAGCTCATTTCATTTATTTAAAACTGGTGCTTTCTGTCAAAATGCAGCCTAATAATAAAAATCTGTATAGTAGAGATGTAGTACAGGTAGTTCCCAGGTTACAAATAAGATATATTTTTAATGGTGTCTTAAAGTATTTTAAGTGGAATTTGAAAGTAAGTTAGAATAGATACATGACATTCTTATTTAGCTTTCCTTTAGTGCAAGAAAAGACTCGAAAACCTTTTAGTCACTTAAAAGATGCATATAAAAAAAAAGATGCATATGAAGCAAGTGAAGGTGATTGTGATGACGAATCTGCTTCGAGCAAGGACATCAGGAATGAATGATCGATCATCAGAGGTTTCTGTATAGTAATTAACATGTTGGAACATAATATGCTATAATCGATTGGCTGGGGGGAAATGTCACATTATACTTTGTAAACTTTCACACAAATAACAATAAAAGTATGTTAAAACAATAGGACTTTATTTCAAATAGAAGTTGAATCAATCATTGCAAAATGATTAAAGGGCAGGTAGAGATTAAGTGTAAGTTAGACCTTCCTAATCCTGACACTGCCTATAGGTGCAGTATTTGTTCTTATTTATGTATTTAATCATACTCCATTTGATTCTTATTGCTTATTGTGATGTGTAGTTTGAGTGAATTACATCAAGATTCTCTTGCTTACAATTTTTGTAGCTCTAGACTTCAAGGAGATTATGTGGCTTCTGGATACATGAAATATGTAGAGTCCAAATTGAGATGTGATGTAGTAAAAAACAGATACCAGATTACTGAGGATTTGCAGAGTAAATGTAAAATATGTCTTTATTTTTAAAATATATCTTTATTTTTTAAAAGTACTGAATACATGTTGATAAGATAATGAGTTGGCTAAGATTTACTCATACCCAACCTATGGACAATA